ACTTCCTCCCTCGTTTCGGGTGAAAACGTGCTGAGCTTTCGTCCTTCATATGATGGACATCATCAGAGCTTGGTGTAATTTTTGTAAAAGTTTCACGCAAGAATACTATCCGGCTCTATCTTAATTCTTATATAGACTTAATCGAGCCATGTAGTGGATGTGATGTTGGTGAGACATGCCGACTTATTCGACAAAGATTGGTCGAACACAAAAATGCTTGCAAAGGTAGCTGGATCCAACGTTCAGAAGTGGCCGAACGCATGGTAGATACTGGACATGAAATAAAATGGTCTCAAACTAGTTGGTTTGCTGATTACGGTACGTCTGTGTTTAAAAGAAAGATAAGAGAGGCTATTGAAATTAATAGATTAAGAAATGCCTTGAATGTGAGGAACGGTGGTAGAAAGTTGAGTAGGAATTACTTATGCTTAATTGATAGATTGAAATAGAGAGAGAGAGGGGGTTAAGCCACCTTCAAAAAGAAGGCAACTCAATTTGTCTGCTCAGTGATGGTTCTAATTTCACTTACATTCACCCAAAATGTTAGAGTAAGCTCTTCAAACAAACCAGACATGTCAGATTACGCAACCCCAGTCTTGCCTTTTCTTGGAGAGTTAAACGTTAATAACCCTTGAGTGAAAGGTTAGGACAAGTGGTTTCTTAACTAGATTATCATGATTAAAAACTAATATTTCATTATCACAACCATACTTACCTACGGGCCTAGGCAGTTTTAGTCAAAGATTTTCTCTTGGGTTATTAGGTCTTAAGGATCAGAACAGGAGATTTAACCTTTGACAAGTCTGATTTAGGAACCGTATTGCATATACATACTCATACAATCGAGCAAATAAAACAGGATCAGTATGAAATAAAATTAACCGAACCACTCTATATCGATCTATCTAGGCTTTTAATTTTTAATTTTTTGACTTGATTGAGTCTATATAAGTAGTAAGATAGAGCCGGATAGTGTTCTTGCTTTAGTTTTAACGTAACACTTTTACAAGAATGACACCCAACTCTGATGATGTGCATCATATGCTGGACGAAAGCTCGGCACGTTTTCACCCGAAACAAGGGAGGAAGTCCCGTGGAGTGCTACAACATAATTATCGTATAAAATCCAACCGGCTGCAGTACAACGAGTTTCGTCCGTCCTCATTTGATGAAATCGGCCAACGAATCTCTTCTTCATGAACTCTTATTCGAAATGAAGGTCCCCCTAACAATGCTAATTTTATTATAAATGGTTAGATTGGATTAAATAAATACTGGGGTGCTGATGAGACGATGAACCTAAAGTAGAAACTATTGTCCAGCCTGGGTGAGACAACCTAATGGAAGGCAAGTCTAAGTGAAATTCAATGGCATCATGAGGCCTACTCATCTTATTGTAGGAAAGACTTAAATATCACCCTTAAATATAAGAGAAAATGTGAGTTTCTAAGAATCTCCTGCAATAGGATTGATGTGAAGACTTTCATTTCGCATGAAAGTACATGATTAAGAGATTTATAGGTGAATCTCACCAAAAAACTTCGACTGGTCCGCAGTAAACTGCTCCCGTTTGGCCTTAATACGACGCCTAGGTTAATGCAGTCCACGAGACATCCTCCATCTTTTCGGGCAAAGATCGGCTAAGTTTTCGTTCGTCATGTCACATGACGAACTTCATCAGAACTGCAATTTATTCTTGTAAAAG